ATATATATAAAACACATATCTTAAAAATGTTAGACAAGTACTACATTTCAGTTTAGAAAAAAAAATTAAGTTAATGCATCAAATTATGCTGGACTTTTTTTTTTTTCCAATGTATTCCTCCAAATGGATTGCTATACTTCCTGAAATACTGAGATAATGCACATGAAACATCAACATCTATTTTGTAAACCGTTTAAAAGTTAAAAAGTACTTGACTTGTTTTCATACATCTCTTTAAACCTATTGCAACTAGACTGTTCTATAAAAACATGTTAATCCACTTTTAATTTAAACACGGCCGGCTATGTCCTTTATTCAAGAAAGATAGATCAGGCCTAAAGATGACTTTTAAAACTATATTTGTTTGTTTGGTTTATTTCACGAGATCGTATGTCTTAAATTATCGGGTAAGTATGGTAAGATATATACCCATCAGTAAACTTAATCAAGAGAAGGAAAAATAATCTATAAATTAAGGTTGAATTTATGTAATCCTTTTTTAACTTTTGTCTCTCTTTCTATAGTATTTGTTGCCTATAAGACGTTTTCCTCTTTTAACCAATTAAGGTTATTTATATATGTATACTGCATTTCTTACAATAAATAAAACGTGTTTATTGTATATTTGTAAACAAGCATCATGTTTAGGCAGACAATAAACAATATATTTTCTCTGTTTACCTTGTTTATTGTAACAATGTATTTATTGCATATTGTTTTTAAATATATTTTTGTGTGTATAATAAAAAATAAAACTAACAGAAGTCGTAAAGACCAGTGCGAAAGGACTCTTTTGGTGGCTTTGTGATAGTTACGGTAAATGGTTAAATAATTTTCTTTTCACATAGATACATTTTAATAGTTTTTAAATATCTTCGAATATTTATTATTCTTTCCCAATTTTCAAAAAGGCTATATTATTGTTGGAAAATGTGCTCTCCCTCCTACCGCTTAATGATTTATCGTCAGGCACATGCTTGGACACCCTCAAAGACCGAGGACGAAAACATGGCGGTCTCCTTGCGTCTGGGTCGTCAAGGAATTTTATTTGGCATCAAATTGTCCCGTTTCAACAGATCTTTACGGCTTAGACACCCATCCCAGGCTGGTGTGAGATACTTCTTTCAGTCGCAATGGATGCTTGGTAAGTCTTGACGTTTTATACACGAAGACAGCTGTTGTTGTTTAAGCTAATGTCGGCTTCTGCAAGATGCTTTTCTGTTGTTTGTGTTATTAATTTGTCACGGCATGAACTTTATTTTACATTATTGTGAAATGGTCAAGTTATTTACTATGACTACCAGCTGTACAGTCTGTGGGAGTCGCACAAAAACAATGCTATTTACATGTCTTACTGGTTGTCTGAAACGCCTCCCTGCCTAAGGTTCAATGAAACATGCTAGGAGAGGGAGTGCACTACTGGGATATTTCTTAATAGAAGTAGAGAAATAAACCAAGCATTTGCTTCAGCGCAGCTGTATCTCTGTAGAAAAAGCTGCTAACCTGCAGTCATCTTGCAGTTGTTTTCTGCAGCATGTCTCAAATAGAAAAACTCTGTGGTATTCCAGCAGCATTTTTACTGTCTTTCAAAACCATGCCCCCATTCACACAGTATTAAGAGTCAGTTTTGGAAAGATAAGCAATAAAATGTAAATAATAAACTAAAGCATGACCAAACTAACTGCAGCCTTCAAAAGTATCATATCTCAACCCAGCTAAACGCCTATAGATTTTTGTTCTTGTCATTTGACAATGCTACTTTTGTTTACCATCAAACAGCTAAAACGTTATAACTTTTGGGGAAAAGTGCTGTTCAGTATCTTCAGAAGAGATTCTGGTGCTTGGAAAGATACTGCCAAGGAATAAAAAAATGTCTTTGACTGGTACACTGTGGCCCAACATCCTCACTGAGACACGTTTTTGTTTCATTTACACTGTTTTTGTATCAAAGGTGGCTGTTTATAGAAGATTTGTTAGGGGGATGACAGGTGTATCTATAAGTGCTATCTATGTGTTGTCATCTTTGTATGTTCCCATACAATGACCAAATTAATTCTCTGCATTTAACCCATCGCATGTGAGATACACCCAGGTGGAGCAGCAGGCAGCTATGTAAGAGCCTGGGGAACAGCTGAGGATTAGGTGTATTGCTCAAGGACACCACGACATGTGGGCATGCCGGGGAGTTGAACTTGCTGCTAACGACTAGTAACTTAGTTTATGCAAAACCCCAAATCAACATTGAAACTTTCGTTTACCGGCACCAAAATATGAGCTCATCGTGCAAATGGGCCTCCACTCACAGTACCTGTACTGTAGAGCTAATGCTGGTAAATGAATGTTTCAATGGTAAATATGTGTTGTTGTTTGTTTTTTGTTGTAGTAATAATAATAATAATGGATAATGTACGGTAATTGGACTGCACTTGTGTAATATCTTTCTAGCCAACCAGACAAATCAAAGCTCCAACAGAATCTGTACCCTCACCTACCCATCCACCTGCACATTCGTACAGCACTCTATTAAGTCTCTACACAGTTAATCTGAGCGAATCACTCTATAGACTAATCAGAGTGTTGGATCACATCCATACACCAGTGGGGTACACATCAGAGGAAATGAGGGGTTCAGTATTTTGCCCAGGGACACATTGGCATGTGACTGCATACTGATGTACCTCCAATTCTCATATTGGAGGATGATCGCTCTAATTAACCACCCCAGAAATGCTGTAAATAATCAAATTTCGGGTCTTTGCTATGCACTTGTTTAACCTGCCCCAAAACACAGGATGGTCTTAGAAAATTAGATATAATTCCATATACCGGTACATATATTTTGCCACAGCAGTGGTTTTATAAAGTCGCATATATTTCTGTACAATGATAGACAAGTACCCATTTAAAAAACATATTAAAAATACATTAGAATGCAGTACTCATGAGAAAAAGAGTCTTGAAAATAGATGTCAGGAAAAAACGTGAACATTTTTCAACAAGTATTCCTTTTCAGATTTATTTAGACACAAGTATTTACTAGTCCTACTTAACACTTTATCCAGAAGATGGCAGCGTCCACACAGTGAAATAACACACAGCATACTGATACTTCAGGCAATGTGACTTACCACAGCTAAAACACAGATGAGGCAAGTGTTCATAATGCATTAGTATACAGCAGGTGAGAATATTAAAATGTAAACATGAAATGTTGTTTAACTAAACAGAATACATTGTTTTTTGACAGCTGGTGTTGAACATGAGCTTTTCTCACCAGCCAAAAGATTTGAAATTAAATGTTTTGTATCTGACTTTTAATTACTACACTACCATTTTTATTAGCTTTATTTAATTTATTAGAACCAGGAAGTTCATTTATAGGCTTTTATTTTATGTATGTTTGTTTATTTGGCATTGCTATTTTTGTAAAAATTTTGGTCATCATTGCTTCTTTGTATTTATAAATTGCTTTCTTCTTTCTGTCCTCTAGGTGTCAGCCCACTCAAGGTGCAAATGCCAGCTCTCTCCCCCACCATGGAGCAGGGGAACATAGTGAAATGGCTGAAAAAAGAGGGTAAGCAAGGGTCATTTTACAGTTTATTTTAATTATTATTAATATTTTAGACTTTTTTTTAACCTATGTGTTACTAAAAAAAATATAACTCATCTAATGTAATTTCTCCCCTTCATTAACCCCCCACCCCCACTCCAATATTACATATTCCCTGGAAGTCATAATAAATATGTCCTAAAGAAATAGCGCATGTCTTTGTGAAACAAAATCAAAAGCTCAGCATTTTTGTTTCCCACAATAATAGACTAACAGCAGCACAAATCAATAACTCGATGACATCTTCATTGCTTTGTAAGACCCAAGACTTGAGCAGTGGAGCCCCCGGGGGCTTTCCTAATTGGCTCAAAGAATCACTGTTTATCACTGCTTAGCAACTCTGCTCAGCCAGGTATTTCTGCCTCTTATCAGGAGGGAGCTTGCTGAATTCTGATTGGCTGCTCTGCTAGGTTGCCATGTTATTCTGAGGCTCAGGGTAAGACATATATACCTTTAAGTGACAACGATGGGGACAGAAAGAACAATTCATGTCAAGAAAACACATTAAAATGTATTTTTTTTATTATCTTTCATAGAATTGATAAATACTTAATTTAAAGAATATAATGTTTTAATAGTCTGACCAGCATCTTAGATCAGCTCCTTTTAATAGTAAATTTAAGCTCACTTTTATTTTTTTTAATCAAACTTTAAACCATTTATTTTGGTATGGATTAGAACTACAATTTTACATGGTCTTGGAAAAACTACATAATTTTGGTAATTTCACTGCACACTAGTGATGCAGAGATAAAATGGCTTGGACAAACTTGTTGAGTGTTTGACATAACACATCAAATCGAACCCCCTGAGGTTATATGTTGTTAATGCCTCATACAAATGTAATCGTTGCTTAGTCTCAGTGACAGTCTAATGTTTCAACCCTCATGCTTGTGTCCATTCATTGTTTCAGTGAATAATATTCCTACACATCATTTTATGTAAACAAGTAAAGTTTAGAAAATAAAGTTAGTAAGTTTAGTTAGTAAAGTGTATAGGACATTGTAAGATTTTTTTATAGAACATTGTATGATTTTGTTTAATTAGATGTTACTGTTGACTGAAAAACATGCACACGAGAAGCTAAAGAAAAAGCTATGCTAAACAAATGTCTAATCTTGATAAGCCTCGATTTGTGTCACATGTATGGTGTATTTTCTCCTCATTAGATCATAACATGTTGATACAATCCCATTGTGCATGTTCATAACTGCTTTTGTAAAACATGCTGGGTCTTTGAATGTACCAACAAAAAATAAGTAGTTTGTGTGGGGAGGGGGGAGCAATGCTAGGAAACATAACTCTTAAATTTTTGAAAGCTGCTTAAAATGTGCTGTAAGTGTCCACAAAGCTCTTGGAAAGAACAGCTGAAAATGCCAACATTAAGTATAATTCATGCATTCCAACCACAACTTTTAAAGATTTTGGTACACTTTAAGGTCAGGCATCTTTTAGTAATAAAAACATTGTTAATTGGCTTTGTTAATGTCAAATGAGTGTTAATTGGATTTTTAAAAGTTCTTAGCTGTGCCTTTTATCTTTTGCAGGTGAAGCAGTGGCAGCAGGTGATGCTCTTTGTGAGATTGAGACAGACAAGGCTGTGGTTACCATGGAATCCAGTGATGATGGTGTTTTGGCAAAGATATTGGTGAGTTAGCAAATGTAGACTTGCACACCCATAAACCTTTCCTGCAACAGATTATACATAAAACGTTTTTGATAAAGTCCAGGAACACTTACGTCGGGGGGGATTAAAAAAAATTGTAATA